TGCCTTCCATCATTATAGCCGAATGAGCTCCGATAATGTTCTTGAGACCAATCGCTTCCAGAACACCTGAAAACGTCATAATGCTTCTGGCTCAGCAACTTTGAGTATATCTGCGCTTTCTGATGGGTCTGGAAGGAAACTTCTGACTGTCGATATACACTGCGTCCCATAATTATAACTCCACCTAAGAATTTCCCAAAATCTCACAAATTGAGATGTATAAGAAAAAGTCTGCAATGTAGCATTGTAGTAAATACAAATACGAAATTACTATAAACATCAACTTCCAACTTGAGACCCAGAATTTTTTCCAATAATTTTTGTTAGAAAGGCCACTTAGCCGACGTCCCAAAATTATAACTCCACCTCATGTTTTTCTATTATTTCTCACTTCCGTTTCGCCAAACTTTTTTATTGTGCTAATATCTTACTTCTCAAGGGGACAGTATGATAGAAAATGCTGTCTGACTTTTTAAAAGGTCAGCTCGTCGCAAAAACTGTTGAACAACGCTTTCTCGCCAGATTTGGACCAAATTCACGCCAAGCTCAAGAATTTCTTCAGAGGTCTTACACGATATGGAGCTTCTGAGAGCTCTAAAGGTCTCTCATTGATTTTCGATGGAAACAAAGGCCGCGTCACAGAGGAAGGACAAAAAAAACATTCCTTTTTAGTAAGCCGTGCTCTGACATCGAATCTTCTTTGAAACTTAATGTCTCAACGGAACATTGTTTCTTGCTTGCGAACGAATCCCAAGTCGATTCTTGAGTGGAAAACTTAGAAGGCATCATCTGTGGCAAGAAACCATTGCGAAAATCGGGCTGAGTTTTCCATGAAGGTGCATCGGAGCTGACTGGAGTAAGGTTCGCTTTTACTTGATATGTTGTAGCATTTGTTTGTTTTTCTTTTCGTGTCTCTCTTATCCTTAGCAGCTTTTCTCTTCGCGAAACACTACCAGGAGAAAGGAAATGGCGAGAAAGACGGACAAACGATAATGCATCGCAAGTAAAAGCGAACCTTACTCCAGTCAGCTCGGTGCACCTTCATGGAAAACTCAGCCCGATTTTCGCAATGGTTTCTTGCCACAGATGATGCCTTCTAAGTTTTCCACTCAAGAATCGACTTGGGATTCGTTCGCAAGCAAGAAACAATGTTCCGTTGAGACATTAAGTTTCAAAGAAGATTCGATGTCAGAGCACGGCTTACTAAAAACGAATGTTTCCTCTGTGGCACGGCCTTTGTTTCCATCGAAAATCAATGAGAGACCTTTAGAGCTCTCAGAAGCTCCATATCGTGTAAGTAAGACCTCTGAAGAAATTCTTGAGCTTGGCGTGAATTTGGTCCAAATCTGGCGAGAAAGCGTTGTTCAACAGTTTTTGCGACGAGCTGACCTTTTAAAAAGTCAGACAGCATTTTCTATCATACTGTCCCCTTGAGAAGTAAGATATTAGCACAATAAAAAAGTTTGGCGAAACGGAAGTGAGAAATAATAGAAAAACATGAGGTGGAGTTATAATTTTGGGACGTCGGCTAAGTGGCCTTTTAACAAAAATTATTAGAAAAAATTCCTGGGGTCTCAAGTTGGAAGTTGATGTTTATAGGTAATTTCGTATTTGTATTTACTACAATGCTACATTGCAGACTTTTTCTTATACATCTCAATTTGTGAGATTTTGGGAAATTCTTAGGGTGGAGTTATAATTATGGGACGCATTGTTTATTCGGCGCATTATCAATAAGGCGTAAATTATTATTAGGGTATCCCGAAAGTTCGTGCACCCTCAAAACATTCTTTGAGTTACCATTATTTCGAAAAAGGAAGGCCTATCAGCAATATATCAAGCACCGCTATCAGTGACTCGTTGCCAGCGACTCACTGACGAGCCATGTTCCCAGAGATCTGCGGCTCCGAGCTGAAAAGGCGGCGATGTAGGTTTCGAAGTTCTCGTTGGATAGTGTTTTTCGAGGAGGACGATCCTAGAAGGAGATAGACAGCAATCTTGAGACTATTCAGCCCTTTGTGAATGTGGTAGAGCTTCTCAACTAACAAGAAGCTTCAAGATCTCGAGTGTGCAATCTTTGAAACATAAGGTCGCGGCTGTAAAGCGGAAATACTTTTTCGAGTTGTAGGAACGGTTTTTATTGTTTCTCTACCAACCCCGTTGATCACAATTGCCCTTGGTAGCATCAGTGCGAGAGGGATGGTGTACATGTTGGTTCACCCGCGGACACGCCACCAGACGGAGAGCATACCCCTTTAGTGAACTTGTTAACATCTTATCAGCTGTATGATGTTGTTCTGCCAATTCATACGGGCACTGTGAGAAAAGTTGACGGCAGAGCTCGCCTTCAACTTTATTCACAGTTCCCGTATGAACTGGCTCTTGTCATCAACTTATGAATCAATGAGATTATTTGGCCAAGCTTCAACACTTCTCCGTGAGGGCGAAGCCTGCATGAGCTGTTCGCCTGAAGCATCTCTATGTGATGGCCAGTTAGCCAGTTGGCTTGTGCGGGTGGGCTTCAATGAGAGAGAAAGCAACTGGCGAAATTCCACACAGATGCCTTTCTGAACAAAGGTTTTCCTCCAATTAGTAGTTTCCTGCGCGAAGCTCATTTGACCATTTTGATAGCGCATGGGACGACCAGGAGAAGTCGTGAAGTAAATATCACCACTGGCTCCAATGGGTCTGCGGCTCAGAAGAATTTCATAAATAAAGCCATAAAAATATACCTCCTTTTTTGTCATGTTGAACCTAAAGGATTCCCTATCTGAATACACTAACTTTTTCCCAGACTAGACAATGTGTACTTCTACTCTGACCCAGCCGAGGTCTTTGCCTTCGCAATTGCTACCACTAATTTTGATGCTTCTATAAAAAGGAAAGTACACTGCTCACCAACAATGTGATATCACCATACCATCTATACCGAGTAGATGTCACGTGAAAACGTCTTTCGGACTTTTAGCTAGCTTTCTTCACGCTGTTCTACCTGATGGTCTGCCTCATATATTTCTTGAGAGGGCTGCTGACGGAATTACCCCGACTTTTACATATCTTTTCGGAGGATACTTCTCCAAGGGGCGGTACCCGCGATCTGGAGCCTCGGGCTAGTTAGGCTAACACATAACAAAGGAAGGCGTATTTAGGAATTGCAGGCCTGTGTGCTCACTTCATCTATTAGTAAAATGATGGAAATGACTGTATGCTAACAAATGAGAAGCTTTCTTGCATCGCATATATCGAACGTCTCAGTCGGCTATCTTGCAAGTCACTTGCGCTGAAGCCTAGGTGTTTTATACTATGTTCATCTTCAAGATTTATACCGGCCTACATTTTACTGATGTGTCCTAAGAACATCAACATCCATCAAGAGGCTAAAAAAGAAGCAAAAAAGCCCCTAATCTCCGCATACAATCAATTTATACCAATCTTCATAAGCTCCGCCTATCGTGAGCTTCCTCACGGCAGTGTTCGTGTTCAAAATCGCCGAGTAAACTTTAGGTGTGAAATCCAGAAAAGTAGCACGAACTTTCAGGACATTCTAATAGATTCTCAGAAGGTATAACTTGGTTTTTGGTTATATCTCAGTGCTTTCACTGGGAACCATTCCTAAACTCTAAGGCTTGCAACGAGTGTAGCTCTGATTTTCAGCCGACAAACGTCTAAAACTTTTTATCACACACGGCGGAGCTGGTAGTATGATGGAGAGTGCTCAGCAAGCAAAACCGCTTATTGTCGTTCCTTTGTTCGGCGATCAAACAAGGAATGCGAAGCTCATTGAGAAATTTGGCTTCGGTGAGTTGACTAATGAAATGTGCTCAGTCGCGCCTACCTTCTCCTGCTATACTGCATTTCTTCACCGAGAGCTCATTTCCGGGAGGCGGTCTACCACATTAAAGCAACAGTCCCAGCAGGGTTCTTACACTAATGGTGTGGAACGATGCGCTAGCCCTAGTCAAGAACATAAGAAGTGTGACTGAACAAAAAGCTCACCTTGGAAAGCCGCTAGAAAGGGAGCTGAATGGCTTCGAAGTGGGCGTGGTTGGAATCGGCCGAGGGGACTGCACAACCACGCCAACTGAGATAGGGAGCTCAACAGCTTCGCAGTGGGCGTGTTTGTGCAGTCCCCTCGACTGATTCCAACCAATCCCATTTCGAAGTCATGAAGCTCCCTTATCTAGCGAACCTTCCAAGGTAAGTTTTTTGTTCATTCACACTTCTTATGTTCTTGACTAGGGCTAGCACATCGTTCACACCATAGTGTCGTAGGTAAGAACCCTGCTGGGACTGTTGCTTTAAGAGGTAGCCGTGAGGCTGCGAAGTAATCATTTTGTATGGAACAGTCATTTGCAACAACCCATTAGGCTGACCACAAGGCTGGAGCATCGAGGATTAAAGGGTTCACAATTCGTTGGAACGGCAGAATTACCAAAATTTTTAGAATTTACCTAAATCTCGTTAAAGTATGACTTAAACTCCTTGGAAAGTTTTCTCTTCCGCGTTCCCACGTCCTCGAGAAATAGGACTTGCTCCTCAGAATAAGAAAAAAAATTCCTTGTTTGACGACAGCTGGCTTTGAGATGCTTTCTTCGCTGAATTCCCTTTTAGGGCGCTTTTTCAAACGATTTTTTTCATAGTGCCAGGCTGGCGAAAACTGACGGCCAGCTTTTCTGAGCGGCTCTGGAAATGTCGTTAAGAATATGTGCACAACAAATCCATTAAGGTATCTTTTTGGAGAAAAGTCGCCTCAGTGACAGCAACGTGTTGCGCGAAGCAATCGAACAAATTCTCACCGATTCTAAGTAAGTGGTAGTGTTTTCTAATTGTCAGGGTGCTTCTGCGTTGCTGCTGGTGTTCACTGTCAGTTCTGTCATACTGTCGTGGAAAAACGCAAAAGTCACATTCCAGATACCAAACAGCAGCCAATCGAATTAGCCGGCTGCTGTCACGACGTCCTTTTAGTCCAGAAGAGAAACTGGTGAAAACCGTGGAGCTCGCCGCCGAATTCGGAGATTTACCGGAGCTGAAAGTAGCCGGAAGAGATCTTGGATATGTTGCTTATTATAATCTTGATCTACTATTTATTTTAGCAGCGATTTTCGCCGCAATTATAAGTCTAATGATATATGTTTTATTGAGGATATCTATGCACCATTTCGTGACAGTAAAAGTGAAGGTACATTGATAGCATTGTTGTAAATAGATATTTTGTTGTTTTTGCATTCATTAAATACTGGTAACTACTTTTTGTGATTTTTTCTCTTATCTCAATTGCAGTACGTTGAAAATGAGTGCTTGTACTACCCATTAAATAAAGGATAAAGCATTTGCCGTTGATCAATCCCTTTTTGGGATGCGGCACGCATTCTACTTCCATTTGTACATTCGTAGTGGCGTTTGAATGCGATGTGGCCTATACAATGACTTGCGGGGGCCAGCCGATGTACAAGTCAGTGTTTTTATCCTCCCAGACAAGTCTGGTACCAATTAACCGACCCCGGAGGGATGGAAGGCTTGGTTGGCCCGGGCGACTCACGACCCAGGATTTGATCCCCGGACCGCTCGCGTGGTAAGCGTGCCACTTGTCACTACACCACTTCCGCCCCTACAATCAAGTAATACATACTCTCTATATGATCTTTCTTCAGAGAGATGGGTCTCAGTAGTTGCTCCAGAACGCGCCGCGTATTCAACATCGTCCATTGTATTGTGAATGGATCGATTGCTTTTTTCCAGATTTCATGGTCCCTATTCCACAGCGGCGCGTTAAATGACTTAACATGTACATGACTGCGCTCAACATCTCCTCCTCTCGTGTTCAAATGGAAATCATAGATCATTTTCTCAGCAGGACAGTTAGCCTATTTGGTGAAATTTTCCAATGTTTGAGCGAAGGTTTTTCCGAAATCTGAGGAGGTAGCGGGGAAATTTCTTCACAGTTGTAGAGTACGCTTACTTGTGTGTAGGAATAAGATCACACACTTGCTTGCAGATGACCGCTCCCTGCGTGCTGTGGCCATGAACATGCCTCCTCGTCATGCCCTAGCCTATTTGGTGAAATTTTCCAATGTTTGAGCGAAGGTTTTTCCGAAATCTGAGGAGGTAGAGGGGAAATCTCTTTACTGTTGTAGAGTACGCTTACTTGTGTGTAGAAATAAGATGACATACTTGCTTGTAGACGAGCGCTTCCGCCGTGCTGTGGCTGTGAAAATGCCTCCTCGTCATGCCCTTGTGGAAAGATCAGATTTTTTGCATTTCCAGATGAACTCGCAGACCTGAAATGTGCCCCGTTAGATTCCCCGTGAAAAATGCTATCGAATGATATGCATTACTCCTCCCATTGTCTCAAGACGTATGAGTTCCTATAATAATACATATCACATTATCTATTTATCTATTGCATTTGCACCCAGGCTCAACCAACAAAAAAATAACAAGTACCTAACACTGGAAAGATTGTCGCGAGTCAATAAGGAACAAAAAGGTGGTAAGCGGCGTGAGATACTAAAGATGTTAACACGTTGACGACGAGCGATTTTTTCCTTGTCGCGCGCATGGGACGAGGACGTTTTTTGCATGCAAAGCGCCGGTAACAACAGGGCAAAACTTATTTTGTAGCTCTGTAAAATCTCGAAATGCACAAAATGCCTTTGACTAGAGTACTCCAGACACGTTTAGAAACAAGGAAAAGTTGTTACTACTGAATGCTGGGTGAAATTTCAGTGACATCGCCTGGCATTTTCAAACCTCAGGTTAGAATAGGTTCTGAAGGCGCAATTTCACGCATTCTTCATTTTTATTATTAATATGAGCTTTCCTTTAGATGGTACTGGTATCCTGATCACATCTGAAATCTTCTACGAATTTTTCACTCAAGAATGACGCAAAAAACTTTGCGTACCTGACGGAATGAGCTTTTGTTTGACTGTTATCTTGTTCTTCATGATCGAATAAGTGATTTAAACGAAGGTCAAAAAAATTGTTTGTGAAATATTTGGCAGTTGATGGACTGGATAGGTACTTTTGTCCTGCCTATGAGTAAGACTGAGCCTACTTGACCATCATGGGAACCTAAGGCTAGAAATGGACATTCTACTGACGGTGACCTAATTAGTAAAGGTCGATATGAACAATTTTAGTGAGATTTCCAGTTTGCTGACGGTGGGAACTTTGTGGTTGTGATTCAATTGACAGCGCGTTTCTGCCACTGATAACTAATTCAGAATAAAACTCCCAGGAATTAGAAAGATCATAATTCGCAGACAAGTGTAGTAAGTTAGGACACTGAAGTAAACGTTGAAATAGAAAAGTCGCGGGTTCCATCTAAGTTTGCTTACTTTCAAGCTGTCGGTCACAGCATTGACCGACATCGTCGCCAACGCGTTAAAACAAAACCTGCACGCCGAAAAAGAACTGAAGAATGTCCTTACCTCGGATAACGCCGCAACATTTTTCTAAATTGAGCTGTGCCTCTATGCAGAATGAAAATTTTAGAACCTCATTTAAAGGCATGTCAGGATCACATGGGTGTGGCTTTCGCACACGAATGTGAATGTATTGCTTTGAAATGGACTGCAGTAAAGGAAAAAGGAAAAGGATCCATCGAAAACGCTTAAGGGGCTCGCTCGCCTTTTTAATCGGCTGCGCT